TATAGTAAAAAAATAAAATAATAAAATAATAAAATAAAATAATAATATTTTATAAGGAACATTCTACAACTACAATAAGAAACACCACTACAAACTGCTACAATTCTACATTTTCATGCATTACACTATTTGAATCAGGGCTAAAAAATATAATTCATTCATTGGATAGTGCCCGGCAAGAATGGGAACTTGTCCAGGCAAATCATTGCAGGTTATTTTGACCAGTAACATTGAGCCAGGAACAAGGTATGACCGAGCTAAAAATGCAAAGGCCAGTGATCGTGACTGCCAACTGACCAGCTGTCATCATGTTCAGGTCTTTAAAATGAAATTCTTAGACTTATCTATTTTGATCTTAATGCAACTATTAGGCAATTTTTTTATTTCTAGCTAAAAACATCAAAAACTATAGGACTAAAAGTAATACATAAAAGGAATATAAATTTTTAACTAATAGGTGAAAAAATAATGTAAATGATTGAGACTAATATAAGGATAGGTACTCTAGATAATGGTTCCAATTTGTTTCTACAATAATTCAAGACACTGACAGGCTGAGCAATAACACTGAGACAAAAATGGCATTTGTTGAGATAAATGAAAGGAGCAAAGATTTCCATTAACAAATACAATATGTGTATATACAATACAAAAAATTGAGTCTAAAAACTAATTAAAATAAAAATCATAAGGAATTATCATATGGAATTAAGATGCAATCGATAAATAAAAATATGAAGAAGGGATCATCTTTTTACATAGAATAAAGCAGGGAAGCTTCCTTTTTAGTAACGATAAATCAAGAATCTCTTACATTAGTGAAATATGATTTAAATATACAGTCAAATGATAACACTGTCTCATAATAATTATTATATATTATGAAACCATCTGAAAGGAGAACTGAAACCTCTCATTAAAAATGCAAATTGTTGAAAAATATCTGCCAAAACAAGACATTTTGTCTTTTATATTTGTATTTTTGTTTACCTTATTTTATTTTATGAATTTTGGCTTTTTGTTTAGAAAAATATTGATCAAACTTATAAAATATAAATTAGAGAAAAAAGTCTGAGCAAATGCAAAGTACTCTTAGTGAAGACTTGGAATATCAAAATCAAACAAGGCTAGTGATTAATGAATTTATGTCTAGAAGCATTTGTAAATAAATATTTTTCTCTTACAAATAAAATAATAATAAAAAAAATAAAGGAATACTTTTCATTACTCCTATAGGCTATGAAACTCTGTAATATTAAGCTAACATTTTCCCTACTATGTATTCATGAATTACAGACGGATAATGTCCTAGAGAAATATATATACATATTTCATTTTGGTGTCAATCATTCATGCAAACATTAATAACGAACATAAAAAAACATTATTGAAGGTGTCCTACACACGTAAAATAAGTTTAGTACACATTGTAAATTCTGTATAATTCTTATAAGCAACTCTTGTAAATTTACATAAACATATTCTTATTTTGCTGAAGATGTCTCTCGAGCTGAGAAGTCATTTCTTTTTCTTTAAGTAAAATAAAAAAATATTTATTCCTTTTTTGTGTCCTATTAAATGAATCCCTTAATTTTGCCATAAGGAGAAAAGATCTTATGCTGGGACAAACTTAAAATATACTTATATACACCGGTAATTCACCTAATAATCTACGGAAATTTTAAATATTTTAGGCTGGGACCATTAAGAGTAGTTATAGTTTCTTATAATTCCAATTCAATCTTCCAAATGAAGAGATTAAGACACTTTTGTTTCCTATAAAACGTTTAAATGTAGGACGAGAAAACGTCTGAAGAAAGACGACATGAAGAATATCAAATGTTCTTTGCTTTTACTGGGATCTACTTTGGGTGTTAATGATCGTATATTTATCTACTTACCACTTCTGCTGCCATTTCTAACATTTTTACTTTCCCTTGATGGCTTTTTCCCTGGAAATGTTGGTAAGCTTGACTAGCAGAATTGAGTTTGACTTGACACACTTCACAAGTATAAAGCTGCGTCTCACAAGAGCTTTTTCTCTTTGTTCCCTTACTTTTCTGCTGTTCTTTACCCGATTCTGTTGTCTCTTTAGCATCTTCGGTTGATAAAGAGCCTTCTTGTGGCTCATTTTTGTCAGAAACTTGTTTGTTTTTGGAAGAATTTACCGAACAAGGATCGGCCACGCTTTCCTCCATGTCAACAGACTAAGGAGTCCAACACACGGTATCCGTCCCGCAGGAATCCCGCTGCGACATCAACACATGCGCACTTCGAGTTAAGAAAAAAAAATCTAAGAGTACGTGTGTGTGTGTTTGTGTGGTTTTCCCCCCATTTATTGCCAGAAACCTATGTATTGACTCTTTTTTATCAGATGGCTTTAGTTTGTCATTAATAATTCGTTCCCTAGGAAAAGTACTGTCAAATACTATTCAAAAAGAATTTTCTTGAAAAAATCATATCTAGCCGAGCAACAATAATAGTTTTATTTTATTTTATTTTTCTATTTTCTTTTTACTCAAGGGACCGCTCTTTTTTTTATCAGGGAGGAGGGGGGGGGGTTTGAAATCTGAGGGGGGAGGGGTATGTAAAAAAATCCGGCTTATAGAGGGGGTCCACATGTAGAAGGTCAATGTCAAAAGGGGGGCATTCAAAAGTATCAGCAATTTACGTTGAGATTTATTTTAATGCTAAATGATCATGAAAAGCGAAGTAATTGGACTTTTTTTTAAGTACAGGCTAACATTTATTTGATACTACGTTTTGATCTCAGGAACTATCTTCATTACATTCAGTTTACATTCAGCTTCATGCATATCTTACAAAAGTGCAAACATTCAAGGAAATCCACTTTCAAGAGAGAGAAAACTACAGAGAATTTGTTAAATGTTCCCGTAAAACTGACAGTGAAACTGAGAGTTGTACATTCTGTGAAAACTGGATAGGGACTGAAATATCAACTTGTCCAAGACCTTATCCATACAGCTCATTTCTGGCAGATACCATTACCTTCCATACAGTAAAACACCTGTGGAAGGAAGAACAATAGATGATTGGAAACCAAGAGTTCAGCTGCAGAAGGCTTTTGATGAAGGAAAGCTCTCTACATCAAATGAGGAGAGTGTGTCAGAGTTGCTGACAGATTCATGGTAAAGGTCAAGCTGGCGCTAGATAAACTTCAAAAAGTGGAGGCAAAGGAGTTCAGAAAAAGAAAGAGAAGGACAGAGAAAGTTAAAAAGAAACAGGAGATACAAAAGAAAACCTACAGTAGCTATGATTGGCAGAAATTGATTACTGAAAATGACTTAATTGAACTTACAGTATTGGAGCTTAAAAAATACTTAAGATACGGAAGCAAGTGAGAGAAAATTGAAAGAATCAAGCTACACTGGGGTAAAGAATACCAACTTGAAGACAAAGAAGTACATAAAGAATTAGAGGAAATGGATGAGGAACAGGAAATATATGAAGACAAAACAGATGAAGAGGATGAAATAGAAACAGACAGTGAAGCATGTAACAAAGAGGACTTTAAGTCACTCTTCGTCAGAGCGCTGCACTGTCTGTTTCTATTTCATATATGAACATGATAACATTGTGCTTGCTGTCATTGGCCAGGATGGTGACCAAGGTCCACCAAATGTAGCTCGCCGTTCAGGAAGAACTGTCAACAGATGTGAAAATTCTGATTATCTGTATTTTTGAATTATTTGCATTCAAAATTGTTATTTAGATATATATTGATGTGGTGAGGTGATAATCAGTAATTGGAATGCAAACTAGTCAGAGTAACTTTATTAACAGTACTATTAAATACACACAACTTTGAGAGAAACTTATAAGAAATGAACGGTCCCGGCTAATATAAAATATATACTATGTCTATGCTTACAAGGATAATACAGAATAATACAGTTTCAGCTGTTATATAACAGTAAAAATCCTCCTTTTCATTGAACAGCTTAACTTATAAATAAGGGACTGTTCATTTTCTTACGGGCATGACTGGAGGGATTTTGAGAATTGGAAGTACAAAATGCATGACCCCTTCCTTAACCATGCCCGTAAAAAATGAACGGTCTTTGAAGTGTAGGAAACGTTAGTAATACACACAACTTTGAGAGAAACTTATAAGAAATGAACGGTCCCGGCTAATATAAAATATATACTATGTCTATGCTTACAAGGATAATACAGAATAATACAGTTTCAGCTGTTATATAACAGTAAAAATCCTCCTTTTCATTGAACAGCTTAACTTATAAATAAGGGACTGTTCATTTTCTTACGGGCATGACTGGMGGGATTTTGAGAATTGGAAGTACAAAATGCATGACCCCTTCCTTAACCATGCCCGTAAAAAATGAACGGTCTTTGAAGTGTAGGAAACGTTAGTAATAATCAATGGCCGCTGTTATATTTCTTTGTATAGCCTTACATTTAAAACCCATAGTATCATTCCTAAACTGCTACCTGATTGAATGAGTAATCTAAATTGCACGGAAGTTACATCAGTTAAGTTCGAACTTGATATGTAAATATATAGTAGCGTATAAATAAGCAGATGAAACTTGTGCCCCATGCAGTGTGTTCTTATACATCATTATCTCACATTTGAATATATGACAAAACTATTAATAATACCTTTAGAGTGTTATGCCTTTCATATCTATTATTTCAATTTCTTTTTCAGTTCTTTAAGCCAATACATACAATTTAATTTCTAATAATAATTTGATCTACCCTGCGAGCAGCCGGTTGTTTTTCTTCCCCTTTGTAATGCTGAACAATAGGCTTATAGCTAAAACGGAAAAAAACCCTCTGAATGTATAGGGTAAATTTGGTCCTTTAGTGGATATTAAATTTGCACGGTAATGCGTATCTCCTTGATTCCAGAAGCTTCGACATTAAAGTAAATGACTCTCTAAATGGGTTCTAAGCTCATGCATTGCGATTGGACTGGGCGCGTTTTCTTGATTTTTCATTGCGGCTCAGAGCTAGCGGAAGCCATTTTTGAGTGTCACGATCCGATTACGTTTCCAACCTGCTCGAAAAACAGGTCAATAAAACCGACTGGTCTTCGCTTTTTCTGTTTTATTTGCTTGTGTAGATTTGAGAATATTCGTCTTTGGTCGGAGTTCAGTAAAATTCTTTTCTCCTATATAACGGAAAAGAAAGATAAATATGATTATATTAAGTAAGATCAACATATCCTTGAAGAAATAACAAGACATAGGGCTTCTGTGAACGCGTATAAAGAAAAAGCAAGAAAAAATTCGAGAAAAAAATTTTTTTTGTTACATAAAAAAAATAAAAAACAAGAGGAAATGCTCCATGGAAACCATTCTATTTTGTTTTTCAATTGGGAAACAGAGAAAATTAAAAATACCTAGAAAAGACCAATCAGGAGGGCTTATCGTGCATATATCATACCAGACCACATGAAGACGATATTTTTTTGGATAACAAAGCTATGAATAATATTTGTTGTCAGAGTTTTTTTCTGGAAATAAAGCTGAATTTTTGAAGGCTTTGTTTTCATGGAAGCGGGAAGCAACAGAAGATGTGGCCTTGTGTGAAATAAAGATTTAACTTACCAATCTTTTTTCTCTTTTGGTAAGACCATTTCCTTGAAATCTAAAATCCAAAGAAAAACAAAAAAAAGTCATTTTAGCATGCAAATAATAATAATAAATTGGTGGCCTTTCATGTGATGTCATGCTGTAGGAAAACTTGTCTGTTCTGCAACTAAGGAGTTGATATTCAAATTTGTCCATACAAATGTAAAACCGTAAAGTTTCGTGAAAATCACAAGCAAACTTTAAATCCGAAGACAAGTTTTCTTTAAAAATCAATTTTACAAAGAAATTTATGTTGACAGGCAGCTACAGGCGAAATTCGGCTTGCCAATATACATTTCTTTGTAAAATTTGTAATGTTCAAAAATTTATACATTCTCTGCTGGATTTATCGGCAATCTTCACGAAACTTTACAATTTTACTATTCAAGATTTTACTGTAAACTCTCTTTTTCTGGCCGATAAAACGGATATATATACTGTATATATTTTTCCAATAGAGTGACATCACAGTGAAATCCTCAAATACCCCCTGAGTTGTTCCTGTGTATCTATCTATCTCGTCTTGAAATTGTGATATTTTTCATGAAGGCTATATATTAATGAGGGTGCCAATGGGGGTATACCCAATTGTTAGTTAACTATTGATTTCAGGAGAAATGCTATAATAATTTTACAAGCGCTGGCGATAATATTAAGAAAAGATAATGAAATTTGTCAGTTAACTATACTATTTTTTGGCCAATTGAGTTAACTATTGACCCCATTGGCACCCTCATGAGTTGTAGAGTATGAAATTCGTGAAAGATAAAGATGATGAATGTACTTACTTTTACAGAAGCCGCATTGCCTGAAGCAATAATGACTGAGGAAGAACCGAGGTCTTGGAAATTTACCCAGACACCAGAAACGATGGCCAAACTGTTTGCATGCGTGGGGATATCTATCTTTACAAACTGTAACGCAAATGTAAGCATTTAACAAATTTACAATAACAAAAACAATAGCAATTGATAACAACTTCTAGTTTTTTTATTGACAGCAAGAGCAACAGCAACGGCAACAGCAGCAGCAACAGTATCAACAACAGCAGCAGCAACAGTAGCAACAACCACAACAGCAACAGCAGCAGCAAAAACAACAGCAACAGATGCAGCAGCAGCTTGCAGCAGCAACAACAGAAAAGACAGCAGCAGCAACATTGCAACAGTATCCATTTACAAAGAAACTAATGAATATTTACATACTCTGAAAATGAAGTAATAACCCATATTAACTTTATGCCTCAAATGAAATATAGAAATATGAAATGATTTGTTTAACATTTGAATTTGTAGGGCAAAGAGTAAAATCTCTCTTACCACAAATTAAATTATGCGAGTAGGAAAAACACTGCTTTCACTATACTTTTATTTTCGTTCAATATTTTGTTTAAAATCGAATGGAAATTAGTTGTTTTCTTCTCTAGGCTTTCTCTAGTCTAGCCTTTACTCGTTCAGTCGTTTTATCAGGACAGTTGAATGCTCGACTCTGCCTGATATGCCTACAAAAAGGTTCTATTTTTAAATCTCCAGCTATTCATTTTAGTAATGAAGAGAAGCATGCAGCCGTTCATATTCAGATTCCATCTGGGGGGCAAAATCAAAAATGGATTTTGAACTCCTGCAGGTAATATTCTTCTTCAGACTAGGTGGTTGCTGTAATACAAGGCTGTGTCATTCAAGTGGTGCCACACAGTAAAACCATTTTAATCAACCGTTATAGACACCAATCAGTAGTTTAAGAAAACAAAACAAAATCAGCACCTCATTCAATAAAAATCAATAGAAACTCGAAATTGCCCTTAGGAAGACTCAAGAACAATGAAAAATGGCCCATTGTGTAAAATCCACTAACGAATCATTTTGTATTCTGACTTCAACAAAATAAATAAATAGCCGTTATTTTAAATAAGGTAAACACGTATGTATTAACCGCGAAAAGCTATTTAACAGACTAAGGCCCTCTGTTTCTATGACTGAAGTATGACCAATAATTTTTCCTGTTTTAACGAAGAAAAACTTGAGGGCCCGACGAAAAACCGTCTCGATCAAATGATTATAGCCAAGCGGTCTACTGTCGGTCAAGGAGACTTGAAGTATAAATGGATCATAAGTGGTCATTCCTTTTTTCTATTATTATTTTCATGATAATAGACCCCGCTAATAAAGAGTTTTAGATTTACGTTCACGGCAAACGTGAAACGTCAGTTGATCAGTAAAAAATTCTTTTAAATTACTGAAAAAGAATCGCAAAAACGTCCAAGTAGTAGAAAAACAAAAGAGTATTTGCGCTTAGTGAGAGGGTTTGTAAAAGGTAAAGTAAAATACAGGAAAACTATGAAAACGTGGTCACGTTTGCCGTTTGCGGGAAGAAAAAAAAGTCAATCTAAAAGTCTCTATTAATGCCAAGCTAATCAATGGCCAATTTAAGTGTTTCTTGAATACTTACAAGGACATCCAACACCTGGCCTCTTGTCATCGCTGACGGCTGGTGTAACGCCATCATAACAGCATCCATATTTAGACTTGTAACATGCTGGAGGGGAGGCAGCCTTTCCTAGAAATTATGAAGCATTTCGTGAAATTTTAAAACTAAAATGGCGTTGATGACGTCATATGAGTGCAGCAATCAATGCATCAACATTGATATAATAATATATTGATAGTATATTAATACAAATCTTGTACTAGTGTACCTGAAGAAGGCAAGTAATGGCTTGCCGATCGTTTAAGCAAAAACATTCCCACCTATGGTGTGCCGGCCTTTTATATTTATCTAGTTTCAAAATAGTGATTCATCGTACCCACTATAGCGACATTAGTGTTGCTTGTGGCGTTTTCAAATTATTGCATTCATCAACATTTACATTGCTTTTATTAGTTTTAGCACATTTTTTCCCTCAACAAACATCTCGGAAAGGAAAGTTTAGACTGGCTTATAAACTGCGCATGTACAATGCGCATGTTCAGATCGTTTCCAGTACCCTCGCGATCCTCCGCCAACTAAAGAAAATCTTTAAAATAAACACGAAAATATGTCTGCTAAGATACAACGTTGGTTGAATTTACTTCGCTTAATTTGAAGTCTGAATGGTATGAACTATGGCGTACAACATACAAGTTTCAAGAACTCAGTGATTTTACGTTTTGACTTCGTTTGTCATTAAATAAGTCTATTTGTCAGACAACTGATTTGCAGACTTTACAATAGCAAGAAAATTTATTTGTGTGGCTAAATTGGATAATTGTTTTTGATAATCTAGAGAAATCTAGAGTATTTGCTCAGTTTATTTTCGACTAATCAGATTAATTATATTAATTGTAATTGTTACTCCTCTTTTTCAAAGTGATATGAAGAATATCGTATTTATAATTACAACCTATGAAACCACAAAAGTTTGAAATCAATTGAGCGAACTTCCTTTCCGTCAAAAATATGTGCTTGAAAAAATAATTTGTAATTGTTACTGATTTGCTTCGTTCCATACCTTGGTTTTTACATCTTCCACAAGACTTGGGGCACAACTCGCTCATTTCGGACCATTTATCAATAGCTTCGCAGTCTCCATTAGCTTTCATTTCTTTGCACAGTTTGTCTTTGTCGTAACAGAGAAGAGCTGTAAACAAAAAGTCAACAAAAATGTGAAAAATTAATGACTTTAAAATCTGAACTCAAATATCTGAGAAATTACTAAGTGCCTGATTTTTCCATGGTTTAGTTCTAAAAATTTTCCTTAATTGCTTTTTATATTTTTATCTATCTTATTTAACCATGTTTTTTTCGTTGTTCTCTCCAAAAACCGAACAAAGAAGCTCATCTGAGAGATTGTTTTTAGTTATATTTAAGTGTTAAAATTACAAAATATTTCTCAGAATGAATAATAAAGTTTTGATTGGATTTTATTTGAGAGACTTAGTACGAAAACAAGATATGGTATGTGACTTACACGAACATCCTTCCTTGTTCCAACCTAAAGCGTCAGTGACACCATCTGGACAACAACCATATTTACTCTTATGGCAATCAAGAATACCTGAGGAAAAAGAAAAAAAGGTTAAAAAAAAAAAAAATTTTAGTCAAAAACTAGTAATAGTTTTAAAATTTCCCTAAAAATTTTAACACTGATTTTTCTATCTCACATATTCTTTTTTACAAAGAGAGACGTACGTCCGATATAAGCTAAAGTAATAGATCCTTTTAATGTTTAAGTTTCCTTCCTATTTACTTATAATTGTCTTGAAGGATAAAGGAGATTCTTTCAATTTTGAAATCATTATCCCTAGAAGGGAACAAAAGAGAGAACAAAAAAACCCCCTTTTTTTTTCAAAATACTTACGATGAACTTGGTCACAAAACGTCAAATCGACGACCGAAAGAATATAAATTATTGCTAAGATAGAAGCACACATATTGAGAGATTTTGACATGATTCTTATAAGTTAGTTCCACTTGTAGGCGAGTGTCAGTGAGTGTATCGTCTTTGGTTATGATCGCTGCTTGGGTGAGCAAGCAGTCTTTAAATACGTAAGCCCATCGCTGGGTTTGAATAATAAGGTCATATCAGTAACCTTTTTCCTGATTCATTGCCCAAACATCAAACATTTTCACCGCATTCAAAGGCTCATTCAACAAATATTTGTCATTTTTATATCGATCATTATGGCTGGTCAGAGTGCAATACTCGGTAATACTCTCATCCAACCGTTCTTCCGTTCAGTGTTAAAAAATTGTTAATCTTAATGGTCCAACATTAAGTCATAAAGACCTCTCTGGTGATGTAAATGATCCACTCAAGAGGAAACACATTGAGAACGGATCGTAGGTGTTCGTGATGTATCGCAGTATATCAGTGAGCATGACTGTGCCCAGATTCAACCCATGTACTGGCTATTTCGCCACAAACGTCACTCATTCATTAAATGTGGTAGGAAAGGTTTGGCCAACCCTAGGGAACTGAGTAAAAAGAGGGGTCTCTTCCGTTAGAATTCCGAATCCCTGATCCAAGCGATATTATACTAATTTCCTACTGGTAAATTATTGTAAAACCCTTTGAAGCATAGATAATGTTTTGACGATGAGACCTGTTAGTGACCTAATATAGTGCTAATGATTATTGAGCGTTATATTTGTAATAATAATGATAACTTTAATTTATATACCGTGCATATTTCATATGCATATGCTCACATGAGCGCAATTGTAAGTCAACAATACTGATGAACTAAAGACGCAGCACCTGGAGATACTAAAAATAAATCCGTTTTGTTCCATATATTTCAGGAAATTTTGCATAACATAAATATTTTCAGTTTTTGGTACAAGACCCTTCTTTTGCGGTTTTGCCTTATCTCCAATTGGCAATGAACCCTTTGAAAAATCCACTCCATACCGACTGCATGAGTTTGAAGTTCTTAGTAACTTATTTTATTTGTATTAAAAGTAAACTGACTATTTGTTTTACTGTATAATCATGCTTAGTACGTGTTGCAGCATAAGCTTTTAAAGCATGTTGGAAAACTCTAGATTTTGCTGTACGGCCATCCGTGATACGACTTGGCTGTCACACATACGTATATATATAATAATCGTGTTGCATAGCGTCAGCATTTCATTATTCACTGCCTATTTCTACTACGTTTTGCTCTTTTGTTAGCAACCATGAACTATAAAGTACATGATTATAACTCAGTAGGTACACTTCGTTGTCCTTTTTTGGCACTGTCAAAAATGAAGAAACCTATTGGGTAAGGTATGCCGAAAATTTTTTTTATAAAAACAAGGATTAATGAATTAGAATCGGATCGCCTTCTGGCATGTTCCCGATAAGCCAAATAAAAAGGAAGTGAAAGGTTTGTAATCAGAAACGACTTGGTAAAAATATCGTTATGGGTTTTGGAAGTGAAGGTCACGTTTGCATCCGTGAGAAATCATTTCATGTGGTAGTGCCCTGAGGGAGACACTTATATAGCGAGCTCTTCCGTTGATTACACAAGCAATAACTGAAGCACGTTCAAAGATCTTTCAAAAGACAATCACTTACTAACAACGGGATTCTTAGTTTTCATTTCTAATTTATTGTTTTTGCTCATTGATAGATGTGATTATCGTATATCTATATTTGTATCGTTGCGTCTACCTTCTCAGAAGCATATTCATAAGGCCATTAATTTTGAGTGAGATCATGATTTCTGCACCCACAAATTCTCCTGATAAAAGCATCTTATATTTGCTGTGTTTTCTAGTTTCCTTGCCCCCCACATTCTAACCCACGACATTTCCTATTCCAGTTATCGATCCCACAAGGTTGAGCTTATAACGGTTAATTTAGGACTAATAAATTTAACAATTTCATTTCCAATTGTCGTGCAATAACAAAGCCTTCCTGTGGTTAACCACAATGAGATTGCACGACAAACACGCCTCTTATGGAAGTGTTTTATACTTTCTAATATAAATACGCCTCCGGAAATACCTTTTTATTCGTATGTTGCTCGATGAGCTCCTTTTAGTAATAAGGGCCGCGGGAAATGAGACTCCACATCCTCTGGAACTGGCTTAGATGAGGTGAGGTTGGTTTGGCTGTTGACCAAGCAACTGAAGGCGTGTGAAAACAGAAGAAGGATTAGATTATAGAAAACTGTTTTGTTTTGAGGAAAGTTTGATTACAGAAAAGGAAACTAATTATTTAAAAAATGGATAATGCACAAACCAGTGTTTGAATTTTTTTAAACATGTTATTTCCCCCCCCAAGGATTGTAATAACAGGGACACCTCTTCAAGATGGTAGCCGGCGTGTGCACCCCGACTTAATATTTAAATCTGGTGGGTATGGCTGAGTGCGCGCAGGCTACACTATGGTTAATTTTTTAAAGGGGACTTTAAGAAAGTGTTTATTTTTGTGGAACAGGAAGAAAACAAGGAGAACCCGGAGAAAAATCCTCGAAAAACGCAGGAGAGATCCATGCAAGGCCAAACTGTACCCTTGCTAGACATTTTGGGATTGGATCTCAAGTAGCTTTGGCTAGATGGAAGAGAACATGAGCTGCAGAGCACAACAGCTCATATCAGTATATATCTACATTTATCCGAGTCCCTCAAAGGGGGTACCCATCACAGATAGTATATATAATCATAGTAGCTAGCCACTTTTTGATTTCTTATGACTAATGACGGTACAACGCCACCGTTATACGGTACGGAACTGATGCCACCCTTTGAATCAATAAAATAAAATAACTACTATTTCAATCGGATATCTAGACCACAGCAGTTATCACGTCCACGCGGGTTAGTACCGGCTATATATGACAGATGAACTTTTGGCCCGGTTTTACGTAACGTCTGGGATCGGCGTCACCACCCGCCCACCATTATTATATCTCAGTCTTTTTCCAAATATTTTTAGACGGTAAAGATAACACCTACAAAATCAGTTATTTTGAGATCATAAGCGATGATTTGAATTCTATCCCGACCACCTCTTGTACAACAACTGTATAATGCTGGCGCATTATTCTCAACAAAATACTAATGAAGATTCTGGTCAGGCGTTTAATTAGTCACAAACTAAGGAAAATTGGCCAATGTATTTATGGAAAATAAGGGAGGCCATTGCATTTAAGTTATTATTTATTTCACTATTAGCTATCACTAATATTGTTTTAGATCGTCACACACTTTAGCCAAACTATGCATTCGAATAACTGTTAGTAAATTGGTATAAATGAGAGTCAAATGAAATAAAATAAAAAGGAAAGTGGATATAACCAGCTAAAAACTAGTGTGAGCTGTGTCGGTGCGTTTCTAATGAAACAGTAATGATAAAAGGGTAAATTATACACCGTGAAAAGATGGAAAAATTTACTGACGTTTCGGACGCTAGTCCTTCCTCTTTTACTCCAACGAAGGACTAGCGTCCGAAACGTCAGTAAGTTTTTTCATCTTTTCACGGTGTATAATTTACCCTTTTATCATTACTGTTAAAAAGGAAAGTATGAGAAATTCTTCATCCCATGAAATCCTGTTAAATCAGAGCTGAAATCTTCTGGTACCAGCTGTTATTCTAAACTAGATATTTTTGGTTGTCATCATTTGACATTAACATTATCTATATTTTATGTATAGAGAAGCAGTAGTCATAAATTAAACTTTCAAAAATCGTTGGTACGTAGAGTAAATTATTCCCTTTTTTATAATCACTTCAGTGTCAGTTTATAGTTTATTGTTATTGTAAAGCGCATGGGACGATGTATAAATGCGCTATATAAGAACCCCCCATTATTATTATTATTATTATTATTATTATTATTATTATTATTACATTACGTGATCATTATTAATATCATTAATATTACATATGGTACAGTTATT